GAGGTAGAAGTTTGTATGTGAACGAACATGCATTCATTCTACCTGTCTATGTGACATCTTAGTCATAGAATCATACCGTCATACAATAACAACCAACATCCATTGGTACTACACAACGGACGTCATCCTCATAGGCATCAATACCTCAAGTAAGACTAAACACTATTGTTAGACAAAATATGTGTGGAGTTCACCCATGATATCTTAATAAGGATTAGGGTGATCTGTCATTAGCATCCTAATTTAGTGATGACATCTTGCGATATGGCACTAATACTACTACCACTATCTACAATGCATTTGGAAATAGTTGGCCCAAACTTGACAAAAATTTGGAAGATAGCTGACCACCTAGGGTTCTCCTCTCTAGCTGATTTGTCAGCAGCGGCGGAGATTTGTTGGCAGCGGTGTAGGTGGAACCGTAGGGCACAGGGAGTTGTAGAGCGGTGATGATGGCAAAGGAGGGCAGTGCCGATGGGGGTGATTGGGGTGAGATGGTGGTGATAGTGGCTGGTGGAAGGGGTAACAACAGCAGTGGCAGATGGAAGACGGGCCAATGGAAACGGCAACGAATAGTGATAGTCGAAGGAAATGAACATGGCGATAACACTTCAACTGGGAGCACGGGGTCCTCACAACCAACCCTACTGGGGCGATGAGGTTCACAGCCAGCAACAAACAGTGGAGCTTATGTGAAGGTAAAAGAAATCAATCACTAACTGTTCTCCAACAAAGACGAGATGGGCCCTTTTAAATACCTTAAAAAGCAAAGCACAGTAAGTAAAGTAATGGAAAGCTTAAACAAAGAAAGAACATGTTAATAGTAAATAAAATCTTCAGCTGCTGACCTGATGCATTGGCATCATGATCTCCGGTGGTCTTCTATGCCCAAAGCTGCTTGGGCTGAACTTGAGTCCTCTAGTGAACCGGCTGACTCTAGATTGGGCCCCAATCCTACATCATTTCACTCCTAACTTTGGTCATCATTTAAAATCCTATATGTTGTAATTTATGTGCCAAAAGTTTGTTTTATGCTTCACATCCGATGTGACTTTGTTGCAAGTCATGAACCTTTGAATACTATTGTCTCATCACCAATGTGGTTCTTAGTTAGAAGTAGTTGACTAATCAACATGCAGTCAAGAGTGGCTTTATTGTAGTTGACTTATAAGTTTTGACCTTACTGGAAAAGGAATTAGTGGTGGATATTATGGACTTTTTCTTGGGCATTCTTCAAAGTGGGTAGATCATTTTATTGGATCACAACTTTGACACCATTAGGGCCTGGTGAAAGTCAAGAATATTCAACATATCAATGGTTAGTAGATCTTGATCAAGCAACAAAGGAGTAGAAGATATCAAAGACTAGGCAATATTCACTTCAACTATGACACATGAATTACTAATTGAGTGCATGAAGTAGGATGAATAGCTAATCAAAAGGCAACTAGTCAATGTGCTTGATAATCTTACAAGAACAGAAGAAGCAATGAGTAAGAGATTGTAACTAGTAAGCACATAGACAAAGATGCACATAATTGTCTACAAAAAATTTGAAATCTTATTTTTTTATCATGATAAATTTTTACTATTGATTGGGTTTGGGGAAATCTATTCCTGTGATAGATATTGATAAATATTTATCACTACAAATTAATTAATTATCTCTTTGATTTTTACATTAATGAATTATAATAAGCATGAATTACTATATCTCATCATATTAGAGCAAAGGTCAAAAGATATGTATAAATAACTTTAAACTTAGTTATATCTACATCATGTAGTTTATGGATTTAATTAATAATGTTTTTTAATCTTTTTCTAAGATTTATCACTTTGAGAATGTATCTTAATTTCTTAGGAAAAAGGATTTAAAATTTCAAAATTTTATTTTTAGGATATTAATTTCTATAGATTTACCAAAGTGAAAGGAATTAGCATAGAATGTTAAAGCTTAAAGCTCTCATGCATGAGAAAAAGCATATTATGGTATAAAAAATTAAAAATAGTGTCCAAAAGATTGGGCTTAATCAAACCACAAAAAGCATAATTCAATCAATTTTACAATGCTCATCCATTTAAGACCCAGCATAATATTGACCATCTTTGGAGAGAATATCAAAGGAATTACCATTCACTGTGAGGCCTTGATTTCAGGAGATGAGAGACTGATGAATCTTACCATTTTGAATGTTCCTGTAGTGATATGCAAATGTGGGGTAATCTGTGTAGGTAGCTAAAGTTAAATAATGATATTTTGCGAGATGAAGTTATGGGGGCCTTTTCTATTGACAAGGATGGTTCTCGACTTCTTGTCAGTATAGTCTTGAAATCTTAGGGCTTTCAATGAATATTTCTTGGCCACTGATTTAGTGGAACTTCAAGGTTTGGTTGGGCTTCGTCCTCTGTGGTAGCGTGCCTGGTTGAGTTGGTGTTTTCGTCTATCAGGTTGTCTGCTCCGCCGTGTACACATGCACAAAGAAATATATATATATATATATCATGAATGTTCCAAAGTTTTTCTATAAAGATCGAGTGAATGCATGGGTTTCTGAACATCCCACCTTTTCAGATAATATCTAATATTTTCTTAGAGAACTTTGACACAAAACTATGATATATTGATATGCCGAGGCTTTGATTCAAGCAAACTTGGCCGACCGTAAATTCCCCACTGATGAGAGAGGGAGAGAGAGAGAGAGATGACTGAGAGGTTGGCCGTCACTCTATCTGATCAGATCTTCCCCTGCTTTTCCAGTTGTTCCTGTCCAAAATGGAAAGACCCACTTAGCAATCCCGTCAAAATCATGAAGAAAGGAGAGGCTTTCACAGGGTTCAGTGAAAGCTCTCTCTCTCTCTCCCTCTCTTCAAGAGGGGTAACTGGAAAGCGTACCTCTGTGACAAAGAAGGCGTGAAATCCATAGGGAACTCTCTTCGGGAGCTCCACGACAGCCACCGGCTCTGCAGACATCGTCTTCGCATCGATAACATTGACTTCGGACTTCCTGCAGCGATAGCGACCGAATGTTGTCGGGGGCAGAAGATCATAATTAGAGAGAGAGAGAGAGAGAGAGAGAGAGAGAGTACCCTGTTTTCTCATCATGCACAAAGAATATCAAGTACCCATCATCCTCATCAGACGAGACTCCAGGTTCACGAGGCACAAAGACGGCCTCGGAGCCGAACCTCCCGGGCCCCAGATGAAAAATGCCCTGCACATTTCCCCCTACTTCGAGCTTCTTCTTCCCGGTGATATCCGGCTCCACATGGAGATCGAACTTCACTATGCCTTTGATCTTCGTCACCGCGTGGAAAATGGTCCCGTAAACGAACCGTTGCTTCCTGCATCCACACCGAATTTTCCAAAACCGCATGAACGAGAGATCATCGATTGCGGCCAAGATTCCATTTTTAGCGAGGATTCTCTTTCTATCTCTGCTTTGGGCAAAGGGAACAGACCGTCCGGTGTAGCTCTCGTTGATCCGAGGGAAGTCGACAATGGAGAGTGAGAGCTGCTTCTGAGAGGCGGCGCCGGTCTTCATGTTGAATCTCATTTCATACCTGATGTGGAAAGGAGAGAGAAACCCGATCGGTCAACGAGTCTAAAACCTGGCTGGTACTTCAGATCGTCAGATCACATACAACTCGTTCTTGAAGTTGTCAAGCGTCTCGGATGCGTCTCCATTGATCATATCCAAATCTGGGTTCTCAAGGCGGCAGGTAATCAGAACGACCTCCTCGTCCTCCTCCCAGGCGTTTGCTGCCAGAAAGGAACAAATGGATAATGTTGGAGATGAACCCCCAGCTCAGAAAACATCCATCCACAGTATTTGGGCCAAGAACCAACACAATGCAGTAATATAAAATATTTATGCATATATATATATATATATATATATATCTGTCTATGTAGAGAGAGAGAGAGAGAGAGAGAGAGAGAGAGATCACCGTTATGGAATATGAAGCAATTCGGAAGCTCAAACCACTTGATTTGGAGCTCATCCTTGGCATATCTGGGAAGAATGCCGAATTTGGCTTTCTTAGATGGGTCAAATGAGAAGATGATCTTCCCTTCTTTGACCATTTCCTGCGACGAACAGAAGCAGACAGCCGGATTCCATTTCAAAACCAGGAAACAAAGCATTGACTTGAATTCCACAGTCACTTGCCACTAGAGCTCTTCAAGCAAGTTCTTCAAAGAAATTCAAGAGATGCAAGCCTTGTGAACTCGCGAAGCACCTTTGGGCGGAAATAAAGAGGAAGATCCATAAAGATTGCATAGTTCTCAGTGATTGCAAAGTCGTGCATCATCACCGATTCTGGTATCGTTATCGGGACAGGATCGAGCATGATGCCTTCTTTTGTCACGACCCGGTAGGTAACATATGGTGGCGACTGAGAGTAGCCGAATGTGAACATCTCATCTGCAACATAGATGAGCCTCCTAGATTCAATTCAATCAATCATGTTGGAAAATCTAGTAGAATATGGATGCGATGAGCCCACTATTATTCAGAACATGCAGAGCATGCACCCATTATGCTACGTTCATAGAAAACTTTTTTTCTTATTGATTATTACAAAAATTAATTAACTTGTTCTTGCAATCTGGGTTTAATTTACGAAATTTGAGCTGGATGATCAACCAGCTATCGCAGTGACAGCACCTTCCTGGCATTGCCAAGTGACTTGCCTGGTTGATTCTCATGTATGAATCATAAAAAACTTCTTGCTAGGCAGTGCCTTGATCACCTTCAGGTGGACGATGGGCATTGGGACGAGATAGCATCAAACCCTCACCTGTGAATGGATCCACCTTCGGATGAGCAGTGAAGGAATGTGCTAGCCGTCGGTCATAATCCAACAGCCCAAGTGTCTGGAGATCTCCATCTTCCAAAATCTTGACGACATCTGTTCGAGGAAATCGGAAAGGTCCCATTAATCTTCATTCAACTAGACCAAATCTTAGCTATATAATTTTTACTAAGGGATTTAATGTTTTCGAAGGAAATTCACAGAAAGGAAGAAAAATGGAAAGGTGCTTACAGGGTTTATCACCTTCTGAAAGGGCTAAGAGTTTACCATGATGGTATACAAGAGCTGTGTTGGCTGAAATCAGGCTAAACCATGAGATCCAATGATCAAAAATTAAAAAAATAAAATGAGAAGCAGATTCAGCTCAGCTTTAAGACGAACTTTAATCAGGCATACTCGTTAAGCTTACCTGTTCCTCTTCCGTATGAAAGATCCAAGATTTTCAGTTTTTCTCGCAGTTGAGAAATATAAACCATAAAAAGCCCAAAGAATCCTTTCAGGTCTCCACCCTGATGATGAAAGAGCAACCACGATGAAAGTGTTTTCTCTATAAGACATTGAACAGGCGATAAAAGTTGAAGACTGGTGCCTAATAATCAGTCATTAGAAATTATGATAGTTCTGCCTCATTATGTTCTCCAATTTTAATAATGAGCAAAAAATATTTATGACTGTTCGAGAAATTAGAATGTTCCATAATATGTTATTAGGAAGATATCCCAAACAGGAAAGCTAATCGACGTGAAAACACGGTTTTTTACACCAGATTACCTTCATGAACTTTGCCCGTCCGAAATATTCTTCCTGTTTAAGTCGCGAAGTCTGCACATATCTTGAGACATAGCTCGCCTTCCCATCTTTGATGCGGATCCCATGAATCATTCTTCATAACCATCGTTTTAAGAACGCATAAAGGCACATAAAATTCATCAGTGAGCAAACTGGTTTTTGCAGATTTTTTTTCAGAAAGATACACATGGCGAGAAACAATATAGATTTGATGAATGAGGCTTCCTCCGGGAGGGACTCCGAAAAGACCTACCCATCGCCATCAAACCTGAAAACAATGCAAGAACAGAAGCTATCATCACAATAAGGTAATTGAACAATTTTTTTCTAGAAGGTAATCTACGTGCATGAAAGATGCGCTCTTAGCAAGGAATCAGAAATAATAATGGCGGTTTGGCAATACAGGCCAATTTGTCAGATGCAATGCCAAGCTTCATCTCCCAAAAATCACACAGAGGATAGGGAGCCCAAAGATCTTGATGAATCATAATCACTGACATTTACTTGGTGGGCTCTTGAATACAAGAGATTTACGACAGTCTACCACAAAAAGAATCAAAATATGGAGAAGACAAATGATGAGTCTTCGACCTGAGACCTATCGCAGAAATGTTGATGCTCAACTACATAAAAACCGAGTTGTGACGTCCCATGCAACTATAAAGCTAGCAGCATTCTTCACAAAGACAACAAAGTTACCAGTGGTATTCAGCCACCGGAGGCAGCTTGGGGTTGGGCCCTACTCTGACGAACTCCCCATTCAAGCATTCCTGGCCAAAGAACAGGGAGAAAGAAAATTCTGCTCATTGCCGGTGACAAAGATGGAATAAGTTACTTTCTTCCAGCTTCTTTTTTCTTCTTTTCTTTTTCTCAATGGTCTAGAAATTCGTAGGAGATACCGGGAGGGTCCCTCTGATTTTGAGTTCTCTACAGGGAGGCGTCTCCTCCAGCACGGGGCCGAAGTTACCGGAGAGGTAGTAGTTGGGCCTGCCCGAGTGACCAGTGATATGCACAACCACCCTCTCCAGCAGTTCCACCGCCGCCGATAGGACCCCCTTTCTCGGCTTCGGCTCCACGGAAACGATGCTTTGAACCGCTTTCCCCTCCTCCACGACCATCTCCGCAGCCCGATCTCCCCTCCCTCACGCAGGCAACTCGCCCAGCCTGTGATGACGGCAGAAGAGTTCAGCACTTGGGAGAAGGCCCAACGGTTGGAGTCCATAAAAGAGTGGACATGAATAATTTACCGGGATAAGAGATCTTGGTGAATGACGACACAGAGAGGGCCCCTCCTGTCGTCTTGCCCCGTCGCCTGTGGACGCCGGAGCCGTCGCGTGGCGTCAACTCGACTGCTCCTCTTCTTCGACAGAGGGGATCCTCTCCCATTTCGGGCTCCGGCGGTGGTTCTAGGATCTTTTCTATTATTGTACGACTGCGCTGCGCTCTCGTTCTGGACCACCCAAACATAAAAATAAGCACCGTCCTTACCAATAAAATGAGGTTTTACACCTTCTGGGTCACCTGGAGAATTGAAAGCGAGGATTCAAACGATTTTACGCCTAATGGGTCTCCCTCCTCTCTCTCTCTCTCTCTCTCGATCTCTCGATATATATATATATATATATATATCGCGTGATGGACGAACATAACGGAGAAAAAAAACGGATGAACGCGATCGAGAAAATCTCGGAAGAATGAAGATAAACAGCTACGGAAAACAGAAGCGGGAAAAGCTCGCAACAGAAAACCCCGGGAAACCAAGAGTGATCGGAGAAAAATCGCGGCGGAATACTGGAAAAATGAGGAATAATGGGAAGAGAAACCGGTACGAAAAAACAGGAACGAGCGCGGAAGAATAAGCGGGGGGTTCTCACCAGAAGTACAAGTATTTTGGACGACCCATCAGTGAACGTTCTACTGCACCGGAACAGAGAAGCGATGAGTTCGACGACAAGAAGCCAGCTGTACTTCGCCGGAGAAACGAGAGATTTCGACGACGAGAAGCCTGCTACTTTTCATAGGCAAAACGAGAGATGTGAACGACGAGAAGATTGCTGATTTTGGCCGGAAACAGTGGTAGAAGACGACCAAAAAGCTCCCTGTACGAAGGTAGGCAAAGAAGAAGACGAACCGCATTTAATGCGGAGAGAGATGATGCGTCCACGGGAGAACTGGTCAGTAGAATATGAATTGGTTGCACCACTATCATTTCTCCTATTTTTATTCATTCTTCAGGCTTTTTTTAGCATCCCTCATTTCACCACTATAATTTCTGTCTATTTGAGGGCCAGGATCAGATATTTCATCTCTGTGTTCTTAGAGGTAGTTCTTCTATACTTCGCTCACATCTAGTGAAACTTTCACTATTGTCTGTGGACGTAGGAGGTCAACCTCCGAACTATGTAAAATTCTTGTGTTTCTTTGTCATGAGTTGTTCATTTCTTGTTTCCTTATTTCATAGCTTCAGTATGTTTAAATTAGACATTTTATTCAAACAAGTGGTATTAGAGCCAAGTTTATTGAATATGGAGACATGAAATATTTCTCGCATGATTAGCTTGAACCAAAACAATATGATCATATGAAAACGAAGGATAGAAGAGCTTTTGTATTGCAAGACCTCTACAAGGAGATGGTGGAAGACCAGAGGCGACATCAATTGATGATTTAAAAAAGTTAAATCAAAAGACAATTGACTTCATTAGGCAATGGCTCGATGATATTATTTTTCACCATGTATCCAAATAGAGCTCTACACACTTTCTTTGGAAGAAGCTAGAAAGTCTTTATGTGAAAAAGACAATAGATAACAAGGCATTTTTTATCAAAAAACTTGTAAATCTAAAGTAAAAGGAAGGTACTTATATTACTGAGCATTGGAATGAGATGTAAAGTACTAATAACCAGTTAACTTCTATGAAGATGAGTCAGCTGCAAGTATTGTCACTTCTCAATTCTTTGTCTGATAGTTGGGAGACACTAACGATTTCTCTCATCAATTCCGTACTAGATGATATTGTCATCATGAGTGAAGTAACAAGTAGTTTGTTAAATGAAGAGTTGAGGAGAAACTCAACTAGTGAAGCATAAGCATTTGTGACAAAAAATATTTGTGAGCCTTTGAGGACGAAGACCACAGGTGGCTCTACATGGTATTAGTGGTGTATTATATTATGTCACATTTATTGATGACCATTTTAGAAAAGTTTAGATATATCCTCTGAAGACTTAATACCATGTTGTTGACATCTTCAAAGGGTTTCAGATCAGGGTGGAGAGAGAAACTAATAAGAAGCTGAAATGAATAAGATTAGATAATGGTGGTGAGTACATGAATCTATTTCATGAGTATTCTAGGTAGCAAGGTATTATTCATGAGATGATAGTACCGGGCACTCAACATAATGTAGTTGTAGAGAAGACGAATTACACCATTATGGAGAAGACTAGAAGTATGCTTTCACTTGCTAAATTACCCAAAAGGTTTTGGGACGAGGCATTGAGGACAATTGTTGATCTCATTAATCTTTCTCCATCTGAATAGAAATGTTGCAGATAATGTGTGGGCATGAAAAGAAGCTTCTTACAAACACTGTATTTGGTTGTTGTGAATTTGCACATGTTCTTGACGTGGATAGGTCTAAATTAGATGGTAAGACAAAATAATGTATTTTGTTTATACTTACATGACCAGTTTAGTCACAAGTTGTGGGATCCAGAAAAGTAGAAGGTGCTCAAAAGCAAAGATGTACCCTTATTTGAAGATTAGAGCGTCTAAGATATAAAGAAGGAATCAACAGTCAAAAAATCTACAAAAGCTTTTGTAGATTATGACCAAGCTACTCCTCATGTGTATCATGATGAAGGGAGAGATATGCAAGAAAATAGAATTGAAGCTGATGTAGATTTGCATACAAGATAAGTTGAGTAGCAAGAAGTGGGGGAGCTGCCTCTAGTAGTATCTCATCTTAGAAGGTCTAGTAGACAACATCAACCTTCTCGAAGGTATTCACTAGATAATGAAGATTGGTTACTAATGCATGTGAATTAGAAAGTTACCAAGAGACACTAAAGAGTAAACATAATGAAGATTGGTTAGCAGCTATGAATGAGGAAATAGAAATGTTGCAAAGAAACCTGACATATGATCTTATGGAGTTACATAAGGGGAAGAAAGCGTTGAAGAACAAGTAGATTTTCAGGTTAAAGACTCTAGAGAATTCTTCTTTACCAAAGTATAAGGTCAGATTGATTGTAAAAAGTTTCAACCTGAAAACCAATGCACTTGTTCTTCAAAGCTTTCTTCCCCTTAGTCAGCTTTATAAGATTATATGTCTAGTTTCTCTACAATGCTTCTATTTCTTCATTCATAACTACTAACCAATCTTCATTATGCTCACTCATCAATGTCTCTTGATAACTCCTAGAGGTAACTTCCCCCACTTCTTATTGCTCAACTTATCTTGTAGGCAAATCTACATCAACTTCAGTTCAAGTAAAAAGTATTAACTTTGACGAAATTTTCTCACATGTTATTAATAAACTAAATCTTATATGCCTAGAAATATTAAATCTTGGTATTTTTTACACAATTAAAAGTCTAATGACATATTTTATGATAAAGAATAAATCTAATTGATTATTTCTGGATTCCTATACATGTATTCCTTTTTCTCATAGACTCAAACATGTTTCCAAGGTCAAAAGTCTTGAGAAGAATCTTATTGAATTAGGATATTATGAAATTATGCTTTGAGGAATGAAGATAAAGTTTTTGGATTTTTCTATAATTTTTAAAACCCAATTAAAGGTCTAAGTAAGGATGCAAGAAAGTAGGAGCAGGGCACCAAGAAATGGGCCATTATTTCACCCTAAAAGAAGGCCCAACGCAAGACTACGACAAAGCCCAAAGGAGGAGAAAAGAGAGAAGAAATGGGTCATGATTTCAAGGCCCAACTTAGGACCACAACTAATCCCAAAAGAGGAGAAGAGAGAAAAGAAATGGGCTACGATTTCAACCTAAAGGTAGGCCCCACAAAAGATCATGACTAAACCCAAAGGAGGAGAAGAGGGACCCACATTTTCAGCCCATGAGAGGGTACCCACTAACGTGACCTAATCATTGTATAATAAATCACATAAATTTAAAATTTATAAAATTAGAAAATACTAATTTTTAAAAATTTTAAAATATAGTGGAATAAATACAGGGTGAGCTATTGCGTAATGTCAATGACCTCAAAGGCTCTCCTTAGACATAGACGACATGAACACTCTTTAGATCTTTTTGAGAAGTTTAGAAATTGATGAGGTGGGTCAATGAATTATCTACAATGACTATTACTTGTGAAGCAAAAATACAGTGACTTGTAGAAATACGACATCTTAGGGAGCTTTATCTTTAAGTCTACAGAGCAAGAGGAGACTCTTCATTACATTTGATATACTCTTACGAGGTGGTGACTCATCTCTCGATAGATTGTCCATTTCTCGACGATGGCTTATTCGTCAATCAATCGGAGATAATTTATTTGATGGATTCACAATTTTTTATTCAGAATTATTTGACAATTTAGGGTGATGATACTTTGCAAGTCGTATTGACGAGATTTCATCGTTGATTTAGCAATTATGATGGTTTAATCATTGATCGATAGTATGAAGGAAAATTATAATTTAATCAGACAAAAAATGACTTTTAGTTTTGGTGAAATTCAAACCCTTATCGGTCACCTACTTGTATTAGAGAGAGTGAAATACGTACACGAATGCCTTTATAAGGTGATGTCATAAAGGTATCTCTTTCTCACAAACTAGGGGTATTGTAGGTATTAAAAATTATTGAAAGCCTCTTGGGAAGCTGTGAGTAATTTAGTTCTACATCAGTTATTTTTTGAGTTATGAGATGAATATCTAGTAATATAAGATTTTACAATCAATAACTCTCTCTCTCACACGTGTATATGACCACTCCTTATCTCACACTCAACTGACCACTAGTGATGTACAAGGGTAGTGATATACACGTCCTCTACCCCTCCTTAGCCAATCGAGGCCCTTGCTCGTGGCTCCACTTGATTGTGCTTCCAACTCACTTGTGGGCAAAGCTGGTCGGTAGGTCTTCATTTTTTTATATTTTATTTTTCTTTATTTATATCAAAAATAAAATAATAAAAATTATATAAATTTACATAAAATTATATAATTAGCCAAAAAATTAATATTAACTAATGAAAAATTACTTTTTATAATTTAACATAAATATAAATCTATTTATCATGAGTTAAGACTTAAAGTAAACTATCTTATGAAGATTTGTTAAATGATAAGCAAGTTAGTTGATGTGTGGGGCTGAATGTCAATATGAATTCTACTAAATTACTATGTAGGAACTTGAAGTATCTTCTTGCTAAAAGTCTAATAATAACTCAAGTTGGGGGGGGGGGTTTGATGACATGTTGATTATCATGTGAAAAACATATTTTATTCAACAACTTAAATCTTATGATCTAGTATATAGTCATATTAAAAAATAAACATTTCTTATTTCTTTAAATATTTTATAAAGTTTAATATTTTATAATTTTTTTAAAAACATTTCACTAAGTTATATAATCATAATTAATTTTTTACTGATATGAGAGAATTTTAGAATTTTTAATATCTTTTTATGATACTTAGGAAGGCGATATATGCTTCTACAAACGAGATTTGATATAAAGATGATGCAATGAAATCAAGGGCCGAGGTGTTGACATGCAGCATCACCAAATGAGATCAGAAGCTGTCGAGAGTGTGTCTACACGATTGACGGTAGATGAAAGATACTTACCAAGGGTGCAGTAGATCTCAACATTAAGGAAGATCTTACAACTACGGCAAGATCTCTAAATCCAACGCTTAAGATTAATTCAAAAAGAAATCGACTCTCAACCCCATTTTATCACGACCAAAAAGATAAGAAGACCCTCACTCATTCACAGCCGTAGATCAAATGATCTCAGATAAACCAACTTACACAAAGGCAAATATCACCTAGCCTTACACATTTAAGCTGCCATTTAGGGGTGGAAACCAAACTTTGAATGCCTCGACATTTAGTCGGCTCGAATGAAATAGCATTAAGGTTCTGCATCGATTTGGATGTGGTTGAGGTTGATTTAAGCTTTGATTCGCAGCTAAGATTGTTGGAGAAGCATACTTGAAGAGGAAACCACCTGGCCTTGGCAAAACATAGAGGTTCAAGGTAAGTTTTCCCAAGTTTGACACATTCCACATGTGAACAACCATCTAGGTCTTCATAGGTTAGAAATAGATAGAGATATACTTTTAATCTCATATTACGATTCTTTCATGGGTGTTTGCCTCCTCAATCGTCTCTCACATCATCGTATTTCTGTTTCCCCCTTTTTTTATGGTATATATCTTTCTTATTTATTGTCACCCCTTCTTTGTGTTCATATTGTCTCAATATATCAATTAAATAGAATGGTAGCTACTTCTCGCTTAATTCTCATTTCCTATGGATCAATCTTAAACTTACCACAATACTTACTTATTTTAGTATTTTAATTAGGTGAATTTTGGATTTTAAATGTTTTTGATTAACTGATTTCAAGGTATTTAAACGACCTTCAATTTAGTTTTATCAAAAGCCACGAGCTGGGCTCGAGTGGCAAAGGAGTTTATGCACGTGTGCGTCAATCCCCTACCATGTCCCGGTGGTCAACTGGTCGTGGGGTAAGGAGCATCATATACACTTGTGCGTGCGAGGGTGAACCACCATTTTACTTTCTCTCAAGATAGTCTTGGGCATTATTTTATTTCAAGAGAAGGGATCTCTACTAAGAGGGTGTTACTTTGATATATATTTAGTTTAATCAATGAAAACTTTTCGATATGAGACTAAATGTTTTCGTTTGTTTTAGAGTAGTGGTCTAGAGCGTGGTGTTATCTAGTGGCGCCTAGTGGGCCACGTTACTAGATAAAGTAGATCCCATGGTTGATGAATTACCATGATACCCAAAATGTAAAATGATCTATTGACAATTTGTGAATCTGGTCTCCCTCAGCATACATGTGACCATAAACAATGATCCGACGGCAGTCAAAGCGCCACGATACCAAAGACTTAAGTTCTCGATTGGCAGTAGTTCGTGGCGAGTTAATCTAACATTACTCAATGTGCTACGTGACTAAGCACATCTGATCTGATGGCTTGCAAAGTACCACAATATTGGGAATTTAAGTTCCTGCACGTAGCATTGTTAGGGATATAAAAATAATAATTGATTATTATCTAGTAAAATAGATATTATTAATTATCTTTAAAATTCTAATGGTAGTCGCAAATATGGAATCTATTCTTTCCTCCTTTCATGCAATCAATACCTCTAGTGATTGACGAGCTCGTTCCTTCCTCCTCTAACTACACTCAAGGTCTCAAGCGAGTGGTTAGCTCTTTCCTTCTCCCCCTTGATGATGGTAATAGTGTGGTCGACCCCTCTTTTTAGTAGATTTCTCCAACAAGTGGCATAGTGTTTCTAGACAATACTTCTATGACTTCCAGTGTGATGTGATGTGTCCAGACGAAACCAAGTTGCCATACCGATGTCTCTAGTTGCCCAGAAGGTAGACTAAATTTGGGTAACGATTTATTTTCTACGTTCAGTATTTATTTACCTACTTTTGTTATTTATTTATATTTTATGACAAGTTTTTTATGTTTCATACATATTTTGATAGAAATTAGTAAAACTAATTCAAACTTTGATGAATGATCTTCATTCTTTTTTTGAATCCTCTAAAACTTGTTTGAGATCAAGCTAAGATCATGTTCAACTTATTTTCTATTGATTTTTACAGTGGAATTTTAACTTATTCATGTTCTTAGTGCTCTATGAATAATAGATATTTTTTATTTTTGAACACGAGATCAAGCAAGGTGGAGACATTCAAGACTAACCTCATGTCATGTGTGTGAATTTTCGAGCACACATTCATTTAAAAATCATGGTCACCATGAAAATAAGTTGACCTTGTTTCTCTCTTTCTTTATTATCGTCTTATTTCTCTCTCTCTCTCTCTCATGAGACTTCTTCTTCTCTCTTCATCTCTTGTGAGTGTGTTACTTATCATTACTATTAATAATGAATAGGTTATTCATCAACTAGATGTATCTAATGCCTTCTTACATGGTAAATTAAATGAAATAGTTTTCATGGATCAACTATTGGGTAATCATCATTTTCAATTTTCGAATCATGTTTGCTTACTTAAGATGTCAATTTATGGCTTCCACCAAGCACCAAGATCATGATTTACTCATCTTACATCTTATTTAAAACAACTTCAATTTATTCGATCTAAAACCGATGCCTTCTTATACTTTAAATCTAAAATAATTATGTTCTTTTTCTTCTAATTTATGTCGATGATCTTCTTATTATTAGGATTGATCCAAGGGACATGAATGATACAATTCAGTCTCTACACTTAGAATTTGCTCTTCGAAACTTAGGCCCTACTAATTATTTTCTTGGTATAGAACTTATCAAAGGCACTGATGGTTTTCTCTTATCTTAATCTAAGTTTGTAGCTAATATATTGAATAAAATGAAAATAATCAACTTTATACCAAGTTTTACACTCTCCTCTACCAATTCTTCCACAATCACTTCTAGTGGCCCTTTCTTTGATCTCTCATTATATTGTGGTATTTTAGGTGCTCTACAATACATTATAATTTCTCACCTTGACATTGCTTTTGCAGTTAATAGAGCATGACAATTTATGTATAACCCAACTGAAGCACACTAGTTTTTTGTGAAACATCTATTTCGCTATCTCAAGGCACAATTGGTCATGGTTTGCTGTTACGAAAACATTCTTGCTTTTTTACTTAATGCTTTTAGTGATGTAGATTGGGCAAGTGCATTTGAAGATAGGAGATCCACAAGTGGATATTTGATCTTCCTTGGATGCAATTTAATCTCATGGAGTTCTAAGAAACAAATGACCATCGCCCTCTCCAACACTAAAGTAGAATACAATGCTCTTGCCAATGCAACTGTGAAATTAATCTGGATATATTCTCTTTTGCAGGAACTAGGAATGATGCTGTCCTTCTCGCCCACTTTTTGGTGTGACAATATCAGAGCAACCTACCTTGTGGCGAACCTAGTGTTTCATGCAAGAACAAAGCACATTGACATAGATTTTCATTTTTTCTGTAAGTTGCATCAAATCAGTTTCAAATCTCCTTCATATACAACAAAGATCAGCTTGCTGATATAATTACAAAAGATCTTCCAAAGCATCAATTTATCCAGCTTTGAGACAAGCTTCATGTCGTTAGAAGGCGTGAGCTTGAAGGGGCATGATAACAAATTACTACAAGCACATCATACTTCCAATAACTCAAATCAATAGACTTACTGTAATAAGCCAATGCCAGCTCAGCTTAATCATTCTTGATCACTCTATTACACACCTATAAATATGTTGATATATCATAGATGTAAAGGATAGGTTTTCATTCAATAAGTATATTTATCTATTATTTCTTCTCCTCTCTAGCTTCATCTTTGTTATCTCCATCTTGTATCTCTATATCAAGAATCCTTACAATTACCACTGTTGCATCATCCAAAGACTCACTCTCACTCTCATTGTCTCTCTATCATGCTTACTCTCACTGAATGATCTAATTGGCTTTGAGGGGCTCTCTGATAAATGCCGGATTCAACTCCACGGTGTGTTGGGAGTGAGGTCTCAAGTGGGGCAGCAACCATTAGGGGAGTAGATGTCTTTGTCCATGTAAGTTTACCCTAGCCACGTGGTATAAGATGGGGGAGGCCACCACCTCTTCTCAGTGTACTGAGTGTTGTGTGTTGAGCATTGGGAAACAAGATTCTATCACTCTAAACGAAGAAGAGAGAGTGGGAGGCAATTATAAACAAACATTGTTCCACATCTAGGTAGTGCAAAATAATTCTAGCGCCAGCAGCATTTGCACATAGAGTGTTGTGTTGTACAAGCGATGTGGCAGGTGGCATTGTGGGCATACCTAGGTTCATGTGGTGTGCATGCCAAGTGTGCAGCCAACACAGAATGGAGAGAATATTTGAAATTTTCAGATCAGCCTCCTAGAGAGAGAGATAGTTGAAAAATGTAGAGAATGATTTAGTAGGCCATAATGGGCCCTTGGACAAACACATGCATCCAACTATGAGTCACAAGGGGGTTAAATGGGTGAGTTGCAAATGGGTTACAAGGGGGGCAACACCCTCAGAGAAAATTTAGTATTAAGGCCATGTGTCTTTTTTCCTTCTAGGATCAACAAGTTGACATTAGCTATGACACTTGGATCTACAAGCTCCTTTAGTGGGTCTCCTCAATCCTTTGTATTGCATACTACATGGAGTTCTTTATCTACATCATGAATCTTAGATACAACTACTACCATCCATATGACTAATACTTTAATTTTTTTCTTAACATATAATCCTTGCTAAAGAAGTAAAAAGGTTTGTATTATAGATGGATCTTTGATTTGTGTAGTAGGAACAAACAATGTTAGAATTGATTCATTGGGTATTATTAGGAATGTGTTACACATTCCAAACTCTCTACTAACTTGATTTCAGTCCAAAGATTAATAGGTAATATAGATTTTAGGGTACCTATTGATAGTGATATATGTGACATATATGATAAGGTGATGAATAAGAGGATTGGATGTGATAAGTGTGATGGCCTTTATCAGCTTAGGACACTAAGGTGTATGTATGCAGCAGACTCACAACCATTATCGGGATGTGGAGGCAACAGCCAGAATGCCTAAAGAACTATTATTGTATCACTATCATCTTGAACATCTGTCACTTAAAATATTAAAACTCATGTTTCTGAAGTTGTTTTTGAATGTTAAGGTTGATACTTTTAAATGTGATTTGTATGAACTTACAAAACACAAGAAAGCACCTTTTAGTTTGAGTAACTTGCATAATACTACATTTTTACTCATTCATAGTGATGTGTGGGGGACCTTCATCTGCTCCTAATATCTTAGGAGCAAGATAGTTTTTTACATTTGTAGATATTTTTTCTCAAATTACCTAGATTTATTTATTGAATCATAAGTAGTTAGTAAAATTATCTAACAAGTTTGTGTACTAATTAAGAATAAATTCGAGAGTATGACCAAAAATATTTAAGTTGAATAATGTTAGAGATTATTTCAATCATATTGTAAATGATTCCTTCCAAAAGGAAGGAATTATACATGAATCCTCATGTGTCAATACCCCACAACAAAATGGTGTAGTTGAAAAGAAAAATGACCATCTATTTAAAGTTACTAGAGCATGTCTATTTCAGAATAAAATGTTGAAGATGTGTTAGGGACAAGCCATCCTAATAGCTGCTCATCTTATATATCATATACCTACAAAGTTTTAAGGTTCAAGGGTCCACTTGATGTACTACTATCCTATTATCCTTAAGTAAAATTAAAAATGAATTTAGCCCCTATAATTTTTGAATGTGTGGCTTATGTCTACAACCAAGATCCATCTAGAGTGAAGTTTAAACCCAAAACATTAAAATACATATTTTTTGAATACTCAAATACTAAAAATAGATATAAATGTTATCATCCTTCATGAAAGAAATTTTTTATGTCAATAGATGAAATTTTTAGTGAATGTGAATCCTTTTTTCACATTCAAGATGAATCAATTGAGGGGAAAAATACACAAAAGAAGAATGGTGAGAGACAAGATTCAACTCCCCCACTTATTACCATAGAGGCTACACCCACCCCATGACAATGATTGTGGTCGAGTGGAAACTAGTGAATCTCCTATGTTGGAAAATAATTAAGAAAACTTGCCTATAGCTCTTGGAAAGGAAAAAAAAAATGTTTTAGGAAGGCTAAATATCCCATTTACAATTTATTTCTTTTAAATAGTTGTCTCCAGCTTATGGAACATTTCTTACCTTACTTTATACTACTTGTATTCCATCAAGTGTCACTGATGCATTAGCTCATAGAGAGTGAAAGAAAGCTATGGATGAAGAGATAAAATTGCTAGAGAAAAACTAGACATGGGAAATAGTTAAGTTGCCAATAGGAATAAATTATATGGAGTGCAAATGGGTTTAGACAATCCAATATAAACTGGATGGAACCATAGAAAGGTACAAGGCAAGATTAGTCACTAATGACACATTTGCTTCATTATATATTAGTAATTGTTGGTATATATTATTTAGAGACATTTTCCCAAATGGTAATGACAAATATCGTATAGATACCATATATATACAATATATATATATATATATATATATATATATATATATGTACCATATATATTTAGTCGCCAATGATACATTTGCTTCATTAGCCGCCAAGTATAGTTGAGATATACAATGATTTGATGTTAAGAATATTTTTCTACATTGAGAACTTGGTGATAAAATTTAATTCAAAGAATGATGTGATATATAAGTTAAAAAAGATATTATATGGACTTAAACAATCATTGAAGGATTGGTTTGGGAGATTTTCAAAGGTGATGAGAGATATTGGATATAAATCAAGTAATGGAGATCATACTTTATGTATTAAATATTCATCTTTATGGGGATTTGTAATTTGCCTAGTCTATGTAGATGATATAATTGTGACCATAAATGATTAGAAGGAAAAATACTATTTGAGTAAGTGTTTACTAAAGGAGTTTGATATTAAGGTGTAAGGAAAGCTAAAATATTTTCTTGGCATAGAAGTTGCTCATTCTAAAGAAGAGACTTTTATATCCCAACATCAATACATCATTGATCTTCTTAAAGAAATCAAATGCTAAGATGTAAACCTATGACTTCTCCTATATATCTAAACCGTAGATTATATTAAGATATCAACATCTTGTGAGGAAGTTGATATATCTCTCACATACTTGACCTAGTATTGCATACTTAGTAGGGATCCTTAGCCAATTCATACATAAACCTAGAGTAGCTCATTTATTACCAGTAGATAGAGGTCTCCAATATTTGACGTGAACTCATGGGAAAGAAATTATATTTAAAAGGAATAATAGTGTGGATTTAGAAGTTTATACTGATGTTGATTTTACAAGTTCCATTATTGACCAATGATCAACCTTAAGATATTATATGCTCTTCAAAGGGAACTTGATCACATGAAGTAGCAAAAAACAGCAAGTGGTGCCTCATTCTAGTGCAGAATTAGAATTTAAAGCCATGTCACTAGGAACTTATGAAGTTTTATGGGTGAAGGCTATCTTAGAAGAACTTAGAGTCAAATGAAAAAAGCTAATTAAGTTGTACTATGACAATAAATAAGTTATAAGTATTGCCCACAATTCAATACAACATGATTGAAACAAGCACATAGAGAGCAATCGACAATTCATCAAAGAAAAAATGGATGCATAGATATATGAATGCCATATTTGCCCACTCATAACCAACTAGACATCCTACCAAAGGATTAAATGGATCTGTTTTTCATAGATTGACTTCCAAGCTGAGATTGACTAATATTCACTCACCAGCTTGAGGGAGGATGTAAAAGAAGGGAATCACGTTTATACCTTATTGTTTTTCCTTTTTATATTCCTCTCCCTTCTCTCTCTCTAAGTGAGTTGAATACAGTCCAATATAACATACACAACCATTGGTTTTGATTCACTCAGTTATGGCGTATAAAAACCAGCGACTGAATAGGTTGCCAGTTAATATAATATTTTCTTCCTTATTTCTCTCTCTTTGGATGAGTGCAACAACTCTTTTCTGCTAGTGGCTTCTCTCTCTCTCTCTCTCTGAAGATCAGTGCATCTATGGATTCAACACCCATGAATCACTAGAGTTTTCTCACCCTTGGAGATTTAATTCGATACTTAGTGTGAAGATTATTTGAAATGTTTTTGATTTAATTCTTCATGTTAATTTGATGAGGTCATGTGACCGTCACAGAGAGACATTCTTGGGTTGAGTTTGTCATCACTCCTTACACATACATATGTGCCAGTTTTTTATTTTCTAGGGGTACTATTGTCTAATAGTAACTCATGTAAACTATAATCTCAATTAAGACTTTGAGCAAGATAAGAAAACACAGCTGTCATAATATTGTGGTGGGCCTGCACGAAGAGGATATAGTTCAAGCTTATCCAACTTGGAAGTGTGAATAGTGACAAGTGTTTCTTGTTTTTCCCTTATCTTGGGTGTAGTGTCTCCATTTTATTTTTTTCGTATTGCCT